TTTACATACTATTTTGAAACCACAATGGTATCCAAAGAGTGCACTCCATTTCAATGTTGGATCACTGCCTTATTGGCATAACCTCTGGCCAAAGTGTATTTGCTGAAATGTATCAAGTTAAAATGCATTGTTCTGACCTCAGAAATGTTATGATGTTGTTCCAATCACTCCAGAAGGGTTCTAAATCTAAACTGCTCCCAGTTTGGTTTAAACATTATTGCACATCCCACATCTTTACATTAGATATACCACATTATCATTCTTTGGTTGGGTTTAGATAATGAATCTGAAATGTTAGTTTCAGAGTCTCAACATCACCAATGTTGAGAATATAATGGACAAATATCCTCAATGCTTAACGCATTGTAAGCCGCCCTGAGTCTCCGGAGAAGGGTGGCATATAAATCAAATTAAAAAATAAATAAATGATAAGCTAATATTGTTCACAGCCTTATTTGCTCCTCCCTACACTCCCTTACACTAATAAAATGTATTTCGAGAGCATAAGTTATTTTTTTTCTTTTTCCAAGTATAAAAACAACCAATTCAAAACTTAATCAATGACAACAGCAACACAAAACAAAGTAAAGAAAGCCACGGCTGACAAAATCTATCATCTCAGCTCTGTCCCTTTAGAATGAGTACTTCTTTAACATTTTTGGAAGTTCTCATTAAGGGTTGTGACTGCTGCTATTGAAAAAGTGACACATATTAAAAGGCATCATTCTGATTCCAGTTTATACCCTCTCACATGGTTAGGGATGAAATTTTACAACAATAACAATTTCAACGACAATTTTAATATCATACCTTCTTCAATGACACGTCCCTTATCATCCAGCATACCCTGGATTTCACACCCCCTGACATAAACAAGGCCAGTTTGTTCTACAAATGGCTGCCTTCTATCAAACTTGGTACCATAAGGTTGAGTGGGTCGGACAGTAATTAGAAAGCAGACATCATGTTTGCGCAAACCTAAATGTAATGAGAAAGGAAAAAAAACAAATTCATTGTTTATACTTTTAAATATAAATTTAAATATAAATAAATGTGGTTTAAGAGAATGCAATTTAACTCCATGGAAACAAAGTCAAATAATTTTGAAATAAAACTGATGTACTTATTCAATAAAACATTATTTTTGTCATTGGACTTTCAGCAGTGTGCTTTTATTTATACTGATCTATAGACCAGAAGGTCTCAGTCAGAAATGTACAGCTTTACAAAGGAATCAATGAGTTATATTTACTGTTCTCAGACAATCAATTGGGAGAGTTCCCTTTCTCCTCCCCTTTCCATTAATCTTCTGCTACAGATGTTCATATCTTAATATTAAATTTCCTCATCAAAGTATGTAATGATCTGCCTCACAACACTCAAAAATATTTTTTACTCAAGGATTCCAGGCAGGCTGTTATGTGTTAATACCAGTGTAAATATTTAAATAGCAATATATGCTGATTTTAACTTTGCTGTAATTTATCATCCCCAACATTGTAGTGCTGTTTTCATTTTTGTTGCTCTTTTGAATTCTTAAGGAAAAACCAGAGAAAAGTAATTAAATATATACCTGCTATCAGCATGAACAATATTATATTACAATTACACTAAATTTGTTCTGCAGTAGCAAGAGTTCTATATAGATTCACAAAAAGATGGATTAAAATTAATTAAGAACATACGTTGGATTTTAACAGGGATCCCCCTTGAAAATATATGTATGTACATTTAATATGGGGCTTGTTAACATGTGTGATACACACATACACAAAAACACACATATATATATATCAATCAAGGAAGCACAGCTTGCAAGTTCTAATATAGAGAAGCAGAGTTATCTCAATGTTCCTTTCCTTTTCTTTATATAAATTATGTCATTTCCACATTCCTTAGTTAGTTCAGCAAGATTAGAACTTTTATTAATGCCCATAAAATGCTCAGTTGATTTTGGATCGCTCTGTGGCCATCTAGCAAATGATTTTAAAAGATATGTTCACATTATTTTTCTATTTAACTAATTTGCCTTTCGGTAAATGGATCATGACACATAATACTGTATATTCAACCATGATAGATGAGATGAAAATCCCAAATTATATGCAGATTATCAGTCCTGTCCCTGTCATTCTTGAATGTTCTAGTTCTGCCTTCTTTAGACCCTGAGGGCTTCCCTTGCTATCCTGTTAAAACAGGATTCTAGATTGTGAGAAAACATATTAAGCTGATCTTCCCATTCAATACAGTATAGTAGGAACAAATGTAGTAAGTGAAGACACACATAAGCCTTTCTGTGACTTAGAGAAATAATATCTATATAGCACTACCGTATCAATAATTCAAATGCTAGCCTTGTGAAGGTGGATATTGATCCTTGATAAAGAATTCTAAATCTAGAAATTAGGTATGCTTTACAAAATTTTTAATTATTTTGTAATGTTTATATGGTTTGCCATCATGCTAACAGAAAGAGTTAAAAATAATTATCTATTTGTGACTTTGAAGATTACAGTTCTCTATTCAAACTGAAGAACAATATACAGAGCAGACATAACATTTGACAATTTGTACCATTTACGTTTTTTGAATACACTTTAATGGTTTTTTACAGGTTTAACATTAATTTGAAATGAATTAATGACCTCTTAAGGATTTGATATACCAACACACTCAAACATACCTTCCCATTCATCTTTGATGTTGTCTCTAATGTTCAAGTTAATTGTAACATCTGCACGGACTCTCATTGGCCAATTTTCTCCTATGTTAGGCTTTGCCACCTCTATGATGGTGAAAGAGACAATGGGCTGTGCCATTCGAGCCCATCCACCAAAGACAATACCACCATATTCTGATTGCCTAATAACCAAGATCAGAAATAAGGAGCTGTAAACCTTTAGACACAAAAAAACCCTCATTACAAACTTTTTTCCAAGGATTGAAATTCCTTAAAAACATCTCTAGAAACAAAGCATAAGAAATAACCCATTTCCTTCAAAGCATGTTTCCATCTAAAAAGCACCATAATTAATCTAGCCAGTTGAGTAATTATACCCTTTCCAATAATCTGGTCCTGTAAAATTTCTAGGTGAGCATGAGAGTAAAACAGAATGAAATCCATTCAACATTCTTCTAATTTAGTTAATTTCCCATAGCTAAGGGGGAAAAAAAGGAATGACAAAACAAAAAGCATCATAGGCATAGAAAATCTTTTTTAGTACAGGTAGTCCTTGACTTATGACCACAAAAATTTCTGTTGCTAAGTGAGACATTAGTTAAGTGATCTTGCCCCATTTGATGATGTTTCTTGTCACAGCTGTTAAGTGAATTACTGCAGTTGTTAAGTTAACAACACAGTTGTTAAATGAATCTGGCTTCTCTATTGACTTTGCTTATCAAAAGGTTGCAAAAGTTGATCACATGATCCTGGGACACTAGGATCATAAACATGAACCAGTTGCCAAGTGCCCAAATTGCGATCACACGACTACGGGGATGCTGCAATGATCGTAAGAGTGAAAAACAGTCATTTTTAAATGCCGCTGTAACTTCAGACAGTCACTAAATGAACTGTTGTAAGTCGAGGACTACCTGTACATACCATATCTTTAATGTAACCACTGTGTATGTTACCATGGTTTCATCCTACTGACACTATCTTCAATGTCTTGTCTGATTTCATAAGTAGACTCCAGACGAAAGAGGTTGAAATTTCTCAGGAGGTAATCATGAAGAGTTAGAAACTGTAAATTCAATTTTGGGAGGGCAAGACAGCCTGGAAGAAAAAATGGATGGGAGAAGAATTTATCTCTAGTTTCTTCTGGGAATTAATTTTTTGTATTAAATACTGCAGCTGCAACTCTATGCTATTTACCAGCAAGCAAGTCTCACTGAATTCAAAGGAACAATTTCTTTAGAGTAGAAATACAGAGAATTACAAATCCAAGGCAGAGATCTAAACTTATTTTGTCACATATAAAAGCATATATATTGTTCATAAAAAGTGGAGCAGATTACACGCACTGGTTTCCTCTTTCAATGCAATCTGTGTTTGAGTCAGGAGACTAAAGATATCACCCCTACAAAATATATATATTTGTACTCCTGAATGGACCCAGCTGAGTTGTAGTCAGTCTACTCTAAGCCCATATTCAAATATAGATTTGTAGACATATTTTAATATTACACATACCCTCAATGTCAGTTTTAAATTAAAAGGTTAAAGATGAATGGATTAGGTTTGTACCCCAAAGACCCAGTGCCCATTTATTGGACAAGAAATATACAAAGGGAAATGTACTCTCATTCATGTTTTAGGGTACCTAAATCTACTTCACAGAGCATATATTGAAGAAGAGCACTGTATAATTGTCCGCCAGCACATGGATAAAGGCCTGGAGGACATAGCCAAACTCTTAGATTCCCTCCTTCTCTAATTATTATCTCTTAGAACTGTACAATATATTCCATTTCCAGTATTTCAATTATTGAAATGGGAGGATTCCGTTCTGTAATGTTCCAACCTGGAATAGGCTTATCTGAGGTAGAACTAGTTCTAGAACACTTAAAAGAACACGGACTGAGGAAAAGCCCTGGACCATTCAGACTGACAATTCTGAGTGACATAAGATTTGCACCCACTATGTGCCTTTAGGGATGTAGGTTTTCAATGGTTATGTAAAAAGTCTCTTCTAGTTGCAATCTTTAGTAAATGCATTGCCCTTGGAAATTCCTGTTTTCACTGTAACATTATAAAGGAAGCTTGTGACTGCAGCAATAAACTATTCCTTCATATTTTTAGAGAGCCATGCTTTCCTTCCCAAGAGGCCTTTAGCACAAATCCTAGGTCTTCATAGGCTAATAAAATTTAGTGAGCTCTTCAATAATCTTTGGGTTACAGAAAAATACAGGAAAATAAATATTCTTCACTAGCTTACTCTACCTTTTCATCCAACTTCTTTCTTTGTTAACTGTCTTTCTTATGTATTTTTTTCTAGAATATAGACCCAATAGGAAAAAAGGAAGCCACATCTTTCTATCTCAACAAATCAGGGAAGACAGCTATCCAAAGGAAATAGGATGAACACTTTCCACAAAAAGATTCACTTAATTTTAAAACTCATTTTCATAAAATACCTTCTTGTATTCAGAAATCTAAATCTATTTCAGCAAGTTTTACCTTCTCCGGAATAGTATTCAGTTGGAACAATATTTTCATCCCAAATAATCTTCTCAGTGGGATACAGAGGCATCTGATTAAGCTGCTGAATTTGAGAAATTCTACGTTCATGTCGAGAGACCTAGGGAAAAAAAAACATCTTTATGAGTACTTGCCAATTGCTTGCAAATAAAATGTTCAGGTGCTGGAATTACCTTGAAAGCATCAAACAATTTGGTCTCTTTCTAGCCTATCAAAAACTTATCCAAATGTTAAGTTCTGCAGAAAAAGTCTTTCTGAAGACATTCCTACTGTCAGAAGATTCTGACATGTTGGCTATATTACTCCCACACAAGGGAATAATTATTTACCATTCTTTAAAAGAAAAAAATCTATAACAATCCATTTGTTTTGTCAGGATTTTAGTTAATTTACACATTTTTGTAGATATGATGTGTGTGCGTTTCTCCTTTATAAGCTGTCTTGAATATTTGCTTGAGTAGACAGTTTTTTAAAAAATTGTATCAATAACCGGATGCACAATGCATTTTTATAACTACATCAATATAGACATGAGGTTTACAATATACTTCACTGGTGATAACTGTCTCCAAAATTACTACTAATCGTTTTGACTGAATTTATTATAAGGAAAAGGTAAAGAATTAGGTTCTTTTAAAAATGTATTTCTCAACAGTTCATTCAAAGAAGCTAAATAATAATAGCACTGAATAGGAGGCCCAGGCTGGTTACAGAATACATGGCAAATGTCCACTGACACATTAGCAACATTGTAAAGAGATTTGGCTGACACCAAATACAAGAAATTGTTTGGAGTGACAATGTCACACAATATTTAGCATGGCTTCCATGCAATACAAAATGTGAACATAACTATAGCATGCTGGCAACTTGTCTACATACCAGCTTATGTACCTTGAAAAATGTAAGAAGAGCATTATCAAACTACTATCATGCAAACTTGTTTCCAAAATATTAACCAGTAGTTTTCTCACAGGACATATTGCCTTTGAAAATGCACATAACCAGTAATTAAAAATTGCCCAAATTGATAGCTATATCCTATCAACATGATTTTCATATTTTAATTGCGCTGGATTATTTTTTTCACTTGAAACATACACTGATGAAATAGAATTCTATTGCTTTTTCATTTTTCAAATAATCTTGACAATTCTTGTGATAGTGAGATTTTAAATTAAGTTTTTTATTTTGTTCTAATAAGTGTGTTTATTAAGCATAGTTGAAAGATGAGATGCAAACTGAAATAATACTGAAAATGATAAACATGGCATTTTTATAGTGATGCCCTTGACGTGATATCCTGGTGCCTGGAGGCCGTGGGGATCTGGATGGAGAGAAACAGGCTCAGACTCAACCCCTCCAAGACCGAGTGGCTGTGGTTTCTGGCATCCAGTTATAGCCAGCTGGCTCCATCGCTGACTATTGGGGGTGAGATCTTGGCCCCCTCAGAGAGGGCTCGCAACTTGGGTGTCCTCCTGGATGCGTGTCTGTCTCTAGAAGATCATGTGACGGCTGTGGCCAGGTTTTTTTTTATCAGGTTCGCTTGATTCACCAGTTGCATCCCTTTCTGGATCGGGACTCCTTGCGTATGGTCACTCATGCCCTCGTCACTTTCTGTCTGGACTACTGTAATGCTCTCTACATGGGGCTCCCCTTGAAGAGCACCCGGAGGCTCCAATTGGTCCAGAATGAGACCGCGCGGGTGATTACGGGAACGACACGGCGCTCCCATGTAACACCTTTCCTGTGCGAGCTGCACTGGCTCCCAGTGGTCTTCCAGGTGCGATTCAAGGTGTTGGTTACCATCTTTACAGCACTCCATGGCTTAGGACCTGGGTACTAACGAGATCGCCTTCTGCTACCGATAGCCTCCCACCGGCCAGTACGCTCCCACAGAGAGGGACTCCTCAGGGTACCGTCAGTCAAACAATGTCGACTAGTGACCCCCCCAGGGGGAGAGTCTTCTCTGTGGGGGCACCCGCCCTCTGGAATGAATTGCCCCCGGAGATACGGATGATCCTGACCTACACACCTTTCGCCGTGCCCTCAAGATGTTATTGTTCCAACAAGCTGGGCTGGCCTAAACATTAATTTTAATGGGTTGTTTTTTGTTTTTTTAATGTTGTCAGGGCCAAAATATTTAATATGTTTTTAAATGGCTTTTAAATTTTATATATGTGTTTGTTTTATCTTGGCTGTGCATCGCCCTGAGTTCTTCGGGAGAAGGGCGGTATAAAAATTAGATTAAATAAATAAATATAGATGCCACAACTTTTTGGACTTTTCCTTCGTACCACAACTGTCTGCTCCAATTCAGATTCTGAATGACCATCTGAAGTAACCCAAAGAGCTATAGGTAGACGAAGACATATACTATCACTTGCCAGCCTGTCATGAAGTGACATGCTCTTCAAAACCAAGACAAACAAACCTTAAAGAATTCATTTAAGCAAGAGTAACTTAAACTTACCAATAGCTCAAGCAGAAAGTATTTTTCATAATTTGTATTTTCTCCTTCACGTAGGGCTGGCAGTAAGCAGAGATATGAGGCCACCTGGTGGAGCGTATCTGGACTAAATAACAAAGAAATGTGTTAAGAATCATTTGGCTTTTATGAAAAAAAAAGGGCTATTTATTTTAACATTTTCATTTACTTCTATCATAAAAAAGAGACCAGGAATGATCTGCTTGGTCCAACAGTTCCAAGTAGTAAAGTTATACTATAGTGAAACTGCCCATATTCAGTTACTATGGTAAAGGAACTTACTATGCATACAGTATTTCATCAAGATTTAGTGTTACGTATATGAGCAAACTCATGTATGTACCCAGGGAAGCACTCCTAAATTAAGACTTGCAAAATTGATTTATCATTATGCTCAAACAGAAAGTGGTGTGCTTAAGCAATTGCTGGTTAATCAAAATAGAAATAATGAATCCAGTGTACACAGCTAGGTTCTTTAGTTTAATGGTAAAGACAAGCCAGATCTTATATAATGTGAAACTAAATGTCAAATGAAGCCAAATGAAGACATAGGAAGGCCTACTTGAGCATATTCTGGCCTACGCACCTTATGTGAAATGCTACATTGTGGTTATTAAATACATACCAAATCATTATTGTGCAGATTCTTTTTAAAACCAGCAGATAAATTACACTGCTTTTTGGGCACATAAATTGCTAAGCACTAGAGTTGTGAATTGCAATTAACAGAAATATTTATACAGGATATGCTTTTTGGAAACTAGATATACCTTCCACTCTTTCTTTTTAAACACTAACAGAATTACTGCCCTAAATTTAAAAAAACCAGTTTAGTTATACATAACAGGGCATGAATCACAAAGTATTTTCATTTAAGCAACCATTTCAGCTGAAAATATATAATAAAATAGTCAGATTTTTGGCTTAAAGAGTGGCCAGTCATTGCTTAAAATATCCTGGTCAACACGAAAATCAAGAATTTGCCATTAAATATCTACCCAAAAAAACCCTTAAGCAAAGTATGATAATGATGATGTACCTTAGAGGCCCAAAAAACTTTAGCAGAGAATCACGTGTATCTACAGCAGATACATTTGAGAGGGCAAAATTGTAGAGTTCTGGAAAGTGTGCAAAGGCAGCTCTCTGAAAACCAACCAAGAATCAGGATTAGAATCAAAAATTCATATCATCTACATAATTTGCAATTCACAAGACAAACTGCAAACCTCTGAGAATTAGCTAAATATCAACAGCAAATAACACAATGCTTATTATAAACTTGTTTATTGCTAATCTTAGCCACTTTCATCTCCATTTACGCTATATATTTATTGGATTTACTCATCATCCGAACTGACTATGGCTCTGAATAATATATAGCACCAAATTAATAACATTAATAATAAAATATTATATCAAAATATAATACAGATTAGCATCCTCTTCTAATCTGTGAAACAGCATGTACATTTTGATACTAAATATTATTTTTTCAACTACTGAAATTTTCAGTTTTGGCAGTCTGGTTTTTTTTTTCCTGTCTGGGAGAAGTTGGCTCAGTGGTTCCTCACGGACACCACAAAGGTCATCTCTCTCTACCCCTAGTTTTTAAAACATCTGTATGAAACCACTGGGGGAAGCCCTCCAACAATTTGGGTTTACAGTATGCTAATGATACCCAACTATATATTGCTATTCCAGACTGTGGGGCAGATGCTTTTGATATTCTACTCCTGGAGGATGTTGGGCTCTGGATGGGAGAGAACAGGCTCAAATTAAACCCAAAGTTGCTATTCATACATCAAGGTTCTCCTTTGGTGCCAGTGTTAATCCTAACAGGAACGATATCTGCAGTAGCACATTTCTAATTCGGGAGTGCTTTTGGGCTTGTGGTTACTACTTGAACAGCATATGAAGTCTGTGTGTAGAGTGATTTTTGGTCAGCTTTGGCTAGTACACAAATAGTGTCCTTACCTGGTGGAGGAAGACTTAAATGATAGTAAATCACAGTCTCATTACAATTGCATAAGTATTTGCAATGTGCTTTACCTGCGGCTGTCTGGATACTACAATCAGTGCAGAATGTGATATCCTGTGTCTTCAGTGCTTTCTCAACACTTACACCTATATTGAGGGTCCTGACCCATTATGGGGAGATTTGGAGAAGGAAACTTCTAAAGAGCAGCTTTCATTCCAGCGGTGCTTCAGAAGTCTCCTCTAAATTGCATGATAAGAACTAGGCGGCTTTCAAAACAGTGAGAGAATTGAGCCCACAAGGAGAATGGTGCAAGCTGGCCTTGATAAAAAGCCCATGCCTTGCATAGGCTGAGTGTGCCTGTCAGTAATTGGTGAAGAACAATGAAGATAAGTGGGGCATTCTGCACATTCTGGTGGGGCAGCGAGCAGACCAAGGCCTCCCAAGCCTAGAAGGGTAGGGAGCATTCTGAAGCCTCCCTGGGCCATAGCAGTTCTGCACACTAGTTGGCCAAATGGATGGCTGAGATACGGTAGGGTGGGGATAATTGGAACACCCCCGCGGTGATATATGCAAGTGCACTGTCAAGCACCCGAACTGAGGAGCTGCAATGGCTCTTAAGTTTGTGCATAGATTGTAAATCCTTTTGTTCAAAACCATCGTAATGTTGAATAGTCACTGAATGTATGGTCATAAATCAAGGACTACCTGTATCAGTATGCCTG